TATGAGGACATATATATTTATATATTTATATATAAATATATATATTTATAGTATATTGAAGTGATATAGAGTAGCTGGACTGAGCAGGAGTTTAGACCAAACTCTGTCAGAGACCAGTCTTTTCCCAAAGTCTAAGCTGCCAAACTCTGTCAGTGACCAGTCTTTTCCCAAAGTCTAAGCTGTATGATGGGATGCAGCCGGTGGACTCTGACAGCAGGACACCTGTCTCTACTGTCCTCTCTGTCACGCTCACACAGACCCATGAAGAGACGGGGGTGCAGAGGGTGGAGGGTGGGAGCAGTATATCAGTGTTATCTTCCCATACTCAGTATTCACATGGAAGTGGACCAGATGTATTAGACAGAAGGAAAATAGCATTGTTTTTAACCCTTGAGTTCGAGTGTGTAAAGAAAACACACTGAGGCTTAAAAGACAATTTTAATACAGTCAAATTTAATTTTTGATTCAGAATCCCCTTCTTCTCTTGTGTAACTTCCTGTTCAGACTGATTCAAGTCACTTCCTGCATGCAGCCCATAACTTTGCATGTCCACTTAGCATTGACACTATCGTTCCACATAGGGTGTAGTAAAATGCAGGAACATGTTTCATACGTTCCAATCATGGGCCACAAGTGGGGTGTGCAGAACGATGAACCTGGCCGTCCTGCACCTCCCTGTCCTGCCGACCTTTCTTTAGATACTTAATCACCTTTATCAGGATTGTCCCTCCTCCAGCTAACCTGCCCATCGGCAGCATGTGATCCCCATAAACCGCACTAAATACTTGATCCTCACCGGGCCGACAGCTAAAGACACAGCTCCAAGGAGCCAGGAGCTTAGAGCATTGTGATTACAGACTTATCTGAGGACGAACGTCTTAGAGGGATATATGTGACCGCTTTGGCCTGTGAATCCCACCTTTCCTTGGCCGTGTTGGACTGTAGTCAAAGAGGCAAAGAGTCATACTGCATACTGTTGCCTGCATCCAGCCTTTTTTTAAAGACTAGCATCCAGTTTGATATATTATAATATAATAGGTCTTTTAAAATACAATCAATAAATAGAAAAATAAATTATCAATATTGACAAAGATTTAATGAATATGTGTTTGTTACATTGCGTTTAAAAATTGAATGAATATGTGTTTGTTACATTGCGTTGGCAAATCGTACAAAAATAAAATATTTTATTATTGTAGGAATAACTAATAAATGGACTCTGCAGACTCTGTTTGCCATAAGTCAAATGTCATATGCTCCACCTCTGACATTTGAGCGGCCTGGAAGTCTGTTGTGTTGTGACACATTTCAACCAGTAGAGGGTGGAGGTGCTCCAGGGGAATCTCTCCACATCACGTCTTTGCATACCAATGTTTTCAGTTGCACGTCTCCTCAGGCTTTTCCTACTGCATGTGAGCACCGCTGCTATCAGTTCTCTTCACTTTGGTTTCAAGTGATTCATAAGAGTCACGTAGCTGTGAGGAATCTCATTGGAGACGGTGCTTGGTGTCTTGGTGCTTGTATAAGAGCTAGTTATTGAAAAGCCACCGGGCTACAATTGAAGAAGGGTATATATAAGGGGGTTAAAAGAGAATAGTTTTGCTCTTTATACAGTATGTCTCAATCAAGTTTATTATAAACAGTTATTTTTTTCAAGCTCTTTACTAACATGGAAATGTCTTTATATATCTATAATATAATATAATATCGTTATCTATATCTATAATATATTATTGAAGACTGTAGTACATGTGTGACATTTTAGGTTGGTCAGCACAGTTTTTTTTTTAATTTCTCCAAATCTTGAAACCCATAAAGTGTTAATTTCATAGAATCACAGGCTCTGACATCACTTACTGGCTTAATATGTGTGTAAGAACACATTTGGATGGCTGTTAGACGACTGATTTATGGACCTCTTGATCATCCTTCTTTCTGAGTAATTTTAAAGTGGATGTCATTAATATTATCAACGTATGAACTAGCTCTTATGTACAGCACATGTAAAAATCCCACTGACTAGTCTTCAGTGATCAATGAAAACATGTTTCACTCAAACATTTTCATTACCCCAAACTAGAATCATGGGTGAGTTTTTCCATCACAAACTTCCTGGAATCGTGGGTGAGTTTTTCCATCACAAACTTCCCAGAGATGCTTCCAATTAGTAACTCATCTAGGGATAGTCAGAGCAGGACATTTGTGGTGTTGTGTACGTGTGATTTTGCACATCTCCCTAACATGAGTCTTTGTTTATTTGTTTGTTTTGGTTCCACACAAACATTCTTGTAAAACCACCAATTCAAAAGCAACACTTGATTTTTCTGTGTGTTTCCCTGCTGACATCAGCGCTGAAGGGTTTGTCTGATATAAAAATTAGTTTTCTGGTGTCGTAATGGTAAATAATTCACAGATGTTTCACTCTAAAAGTACTTTGAAATGTTGTGATACAAACAGCATTTGCTTCGTTTTATGCTGCAGCTGTAAGTTTGAACAAGGGACACAAACACAGTTAAAGTCCCCCCTCACCCAAGTGAGAGGTTTAATGTCCTGGCCCAATCCTCCAGCATCTCACTCTATTGTCCACTCTAGGTCATCCATCTGCTAGTACTATGCTGCTGGCTTCCCTCAAAACAATAAGTCGGTAAATCAAGAGGAGTTAAAGCAAAAAAAAACCCAAAACACCTCAGCATGTCTCGGTTTCGTAATTCCACAATGTCGCCCCACGCCCGTGTCGGTGAATGATAACCTCAGAAATGCCAAATGAGAAAATCCCCCGACTCTCCTTGTCTTTTTCTTCCCCATCTTATCTTTTTGCATGTGGATCAAATAAAAAATTATTCACTAATTGACTATTTACAAGGCTCCAGAAAAGCCCTAATGGACTTGATATTAAATCCCCCCCAGATATTTAAAGTGTCTTTTTGGAGCAGCTTGCCGAAAAAGTAAGCCATTTCTTTTCTTTTTTTACAAGATAGCTAACTTAAGCCCCTCTGTGAGTCAAAATGGGCCAGCCAAGCCTAAGCGGCTGTTACGTGGGATTATGGGAGGACATTAAGGAAGGGTTGTACGATGTTGTGGAGAGAGAAACGGCCAGATTCCCACTCAATGACTTCCAGATGGACTAAAAAACACAAGGTTCTCTTAGTGGAGATACTTACTAGGCTCGGTTAAAATGTGCTCCATGAGGGGCTTATACCTAGCTTCTTTATAATGAGAATGACCCGGGTTTTATGTGGAAATTTAAGTAACATAAATTTCAGTCAGTGCCTGCCTGGCGTTTCAAAGCAATTTTTTTTAACCAAATCTACACTCTTTAGAACTAAAGCCAGAGATTGTTGATGTATCACTGTGTGTTTTATTAATGAACCTATTTTTATACAACAACAACATTTTTTGCGTTTCAACAGATTTGGCTGAATCCAGATGCCGTCTTCTGTTGTTCTCTCATCCATGTCATGGACTGAACCCCAAACACAATTAAAATGCTTTCTCATGCATTGTACTCATGGCCTCAAATACTAAGTACAAAACCTTTGAAAAATGGCCTGATGTTTTGTGCATGTAAATCTAATCCCACATTGTCTTTACAACCTTCTTTAAAACACACATTTTTATTCCTGCATGTGTGGATGGTTTTTTTGTCTGTGGACTAATAAAAAAATTTATTTTTAAAACTGAACCGTATTTTTTAAACCTTATATATATTTATATATATATATAATATATATAGAACATTTTAGCTTAATAAACAGCTCAATAGTAAACACACGTGTCACACACCTGTGTGATACAAGTAAGTACACACACCAAACTTTCTGGTGTTGATGTTACGGTTCTGTTGTACAGCGTTATTTTTTTACCTGTACTTTTTCCAACTTCAATCGCTCATCTAAGCAAACTTAGCCGTGCGGTTCACTCTGGATGCTAATCCTGGGTCTACGGCATTAAATTCCTTTACTGTCCATCCTGAACATCTCTCTGTGAGTTATGAGAGTTTCAAGAATGCGTAGGACTGTACATGGAAATCCAGGCAGAAGTTCTATTTGTCCTTCAAGACTTTACCATATATGAACATTTTGTCTATGGTTTTAACGCGTGTGCTTCAGCAGACTTTTTTTTTTCTCATTCCAAGCCTTTTCATTAAGTGCGGTATTACAATTAAATAGTCAACGTTAGCCCATTTTCTCCCTAATTTGAGTCCAGGCATTTGCCGAGTGTGTGTACAGTCTATGTTATTGCAAGAAAAGAGAAACTCAACTCCTCATAGCTGATAAGCATCTGTGTTTTGTTGTTGTCATTCTGCTGTAGCTCTGCATACATAGCATCTGTCTGATGATGCTTTGCTGACATTGACGTGTAGCTCTCAGGGAAGGGTCTGCAGTGGCCACTGAGGGAGTGATGGAGAAAGAGGTGCTGACATGAACCAGGACCTGGCCATCAGCATAACTCATGATCTAATAATTCTCCCTGTGAGTGAAAGCAGTGCCCTGTACACTGAGGTACTCGTCCTCCTGTCTCCACATTCTTTCTGTAACAAATTGGCGCTGTATTGACTTGTAATTGCAGACCCTTCCATTATTTCTTTGTGCAGATTTTTGTCAAATTGGACAGTTAACTGCATTTTCCCCTGGTGGACAAACAAGTGTATTGCTAGCGCGTTAAAACTGAAGAAGTCTCTTGAATGATGAGTGAACCAAATGTTACCAGTTGTCAGTAAATATCAAATTTGTGCAATACGTTCCCACTCAAAATCTCGTAACTTATACAATATTTTGATTTTTGATTTTATAACTTATACAATATTTTGATTTTTTTTCCCCCTGCGATGTCTCAAATGCCTCACAGCCAATCAACGCACAGCATAACACCTGATGACATAAATAATGTCATCGCTCATCAGCGCATCCCGAGTCAGTCCATTTACCTACTATTGAACTTCTCAGCACTTGTTTTTCATTAAACCAGCTGACACACAGACAAAAAGAGTCATATATTCCTCGGCTTCTTTGATTTATTAAGATGTTTTGATTATACCACCATTACTTATATTGACCCAGAAAGGCTAACTAACGTTACCAGTTCTATGCCATTGATTTTTTTTTTTTTTTTTTGCTTGAAGATTATAAAAATTATCACAATTTTTGAGAATACTGCTTTTTGCCGCTCGATGACCAAACCACTGTTCAAAGCAATGCTTGGCATCAGTTTTGAAAAAAGAAAAAAACACTTCTTGGTGTTGGAGGATTTACTGTACATTGATAAGAGGCAGTTTGTAGGACAGGTTTCTCTTCAGTGGAGTGAAACCCTTTATTATTGTCAGACTTGACAAACTTGCTTTGTCCAATAGTCCACATTAGCTGTCAGTCCAATGAGTTCCTGCACTACTCAGCCCCACTTGATACTGATAGGCTGGATCTCTGATGGATAAGGTACCTTGTGCCGGATAGGCTGTGAAATCTCTGTGAGGGTGTAGAGGTGAGCCTGTCTTCTTGTGGTACAGAGATGGATGGCCTGGCCTCTCTCTGGGACCTGGAATGACTGGAGAACATGAAGAAGAGGAGGAGGATGGAGATATGATGGGCAAGCCTCGCTGGACTGAACTGGCGTTGTAGACGCTCAGGTCAGCCTGTGGCCTCGGAACCATGGATGACGAGGGATGAGGCACCACCGGTGTGACTGGGCCGGCGTTGGTGAAATGTGCCGTGAAGGGCTGGTAGGAAACCCCCTCCACACCATAGCAAGGGTAGGGCTGCATGGTAGCCCACATGTTGCAATTTAATGAAGGGGAATTGGCCAGGTCCTCTGTGTCCCCAGTCCCTGACCCTGATTCTGTATCCACACTGCTGTACATACAAGGCTCCCTGGAGGTGATGCCCTCAGTGCAGTACGGATGAGACAACAGAGAGGACTCATAAGAAGGAGTGGGGCGAAAGTAATGCTCCTCTGAGCTCACAGGTGTCGCCTCCAGGTATGGACGCTTGCAGCCGAGCTCCAGGTGTCGTGAGTTATCTGAAAAAAATTACACAATAAACTGTCAAACTAATGAAAAAACAAGACAGTTGAACTGTGACACTCTATTTAAGAAAATAGCCTGTATTTTTTAACTAGCAAAACAAAATAACATTCACCTGCCAGGAAGTCTCAAAATATCAAAGTTGTGTGCTTTAAGAACTATTTGCTCATCTGTGATTTTCTAAAAAAGAACAGTATACTTATTAGTGATTACTATAAATGGTCAGTTTGGGGGTGGGGCAAAACCATTGGTCACTTCTGCGTCATAGCTGAACGATGCCTTATTAGGAAATACCTCTGTGTTTGAAGCAGTGGTAAAGGAGGCTTGGATCTCTGGTCTGAGTCAAGTGGTTTGATAGTGGATCTTGAGGGTCTCTGTTGGACAAAGGAACCCCAGTCTCATACTGATAGGAGGAGAGGACTTGGGGATGACCTGTCAGAACCCCAGCTCCAAGTTTCCCCGTAAGGTGATTGTGTGAGGAGATGAGCCTCTGACGAACTATGTTCTTCGAAATCACGGGATAATCTTTCCTTTGGAGGAATAGAAATGATAGAGAATCAGCCTATACAAAGTCCTCAATAATTAGTAAAGCTTATGAGAGACATTTCTGTTTTATTACGGGACCAGTTTTATCTAAACATACCCCTGTAGTCTTGAAACACGCAGATCACCTTCTTCACTTCCTCGGAACCCTTTGGCAAACGGATTGTTTTCTATTTTCAGCTGTGTTATCTACGTAAAACATCATCGCAGTTATTACCGTACATTAAGGAAAATCAGTAGATTCCTTATACAGTAGCGGATGCCTTACCTTGTGGTTTTGATAGGAGGTTACAGAGATGAAGGCTGTCTCATGGAAGACATGAGTACAGTAGGCTGTGTTCTTGGATCCGAAGGCGTTGTTCTCATCGGCTTTGACGATGTGAAGTCGTGGCTGGTACTTGTGCATTGAGTTCAGGATGATCTGAAATGATTTAAAATAAGAATGATTTGGTAAGAGTTTGGTTCCTTTCTCCCCTTTTTCTTTGATTTTTAGGCTGTCATTGGTTGAGACATGTGATTGCCCATCCTATAACACATGCTTCATCTCAAACATCAACATTTTACCATTAATAATGATAATAATAAAATGTATAAAGTAACTGTCAGAGTTAATTAATTAACAGGCTACTGTGTTAATAACCCATTAACATGCCCCTGGTTATTTCTTTGGTTCCTTTGCACCTCCAACTCCATCACTCCTGATGTCACATCTAAATGTTTACATCAGTGGAGCAGGGACCGTGTGTTTAACATGTTCTAGCTGTTCAGCTGGGTGCAGGTCCACTCTGCTCACTGCAGCCCTTGTACTTTGTCCACTGAAGCGTTAGCAACAATAGCGGGGTCATCGCTGGCCCAACTCTGTCATGGCTGATGAACATCAAACTCTGCTCCTTGGCTCCACGGCTTTCTTAGCAGACGCTCCCTCAAAGACCCTTCTCTTCCAAGAGGGGCTACAGCTGAACACTGACTGGTGTCACGGTCTTACATGCGTCTGTTGCTGAGGCAGGATGGAGACACTGATAAACTATTGGTTGGTTCACCAGAGGCTCATTGTTGACCTTTGTCTGACCGCTGTCTGAGGGCTGTCTGAAGGGAAGCATTATGGAAAACATCAGGAGAAAATGTTTTCTTTTATGTTTTCCTTGATATAAAATAATTTAGACATAATCGTTTGCGGCGACTGATGTTCTTGATTTTAGTGCTAAAGTGGACCATAAGTTATATTTATTACCACAGTATACAACAACCCAAACTTGATGCCAGGTAGTAATGGTCCAACCTAAACATTTGAAATTCATATCCCTCTGGTTCACATGTTAAATTCATGGAGTCATTACTATTAAAAAGATAAATAGGATGGGATTAACTGATAGCCACAAAAACACTGGGAAATGAAACTGTGATTCATGACAAGTGAACACTTATAAACAGGAACATACCACTCAGACCTGGATTAAACTTTGTTCCATTTTAGTTATAAATGGAACTACATTGGATTTGTTCATTCTTTTTTTGGGGGGGGGAATAACCAAATCTTTCAGACATCTCCTGGTTTGGCTTCATCTTGGCTCCGCGTGCCATCGGTTCTTGCTCAGTACTCATTACTCGCCCTTATCACTGACCAGCCACTCAATTCAACCTGACAGCAGGCCCCACAACTGATCTTAGAGGTTACGGACCTAATGAGTCTGCCTATTGACAGGATGGCTTCAGACAAGTTATCCTCGAATTCCCTCTGGGAAGAACTGTTACACTGGCGTTCCTCGCCAGTCTTTGTTATCTTTACCTCCAATCTCTACTTAACACTCCTTAATTGTTTATTTTTCTTCTTGAGGTATTATAATCTAAGATCACGTGGCTATTCTTGATATGCTGTATTCAGATTTATAAATTGTTTAAAGTAGCACATCTGAAAATTCTTTTTTTTTTTCTCAGGAAACTTAAGTTAAACTAGATGGTGTACAGAAACGAATTGTCTTACTTTTATATTAGAGTCTGGTCATTCAAAGTTATTTTTCTCAAGGTTTCTGCATCTATTTTAGTCCATTCTTCTTGGTTTTGATTGAATTGTTTTTTTAAATCATCGTCATCCTAGCCCAAAAGTCTTGTTTTGTCTGACCAGATCTAATTTCTCTACATGTGATAATTAATAAAACAGAATGGCAGAGGAAATAACAGTCCCACGTCTAAACCACCTGTATCTATTGTCACAAAGTGCATGCTGCCGTAACCTGTTGTATTAATGATAAAATGAAAGTAGATTTACTCACATGACCAAAAGGGTCCAGGTGGTTGTTGGTCAGCTTGAGTTTCTGAAACGACACCAGTTGCCTCATCCAGTGGGCTCCTGTGGCAGGAGAGTCTGGGTGAACGTAAAGTCTCCCTGGCATCGCTGGTTCTGCCTTTCCAGCCACCATCCTAACAAAAACAAAATCACACAGGCTTTATAGAGAACACAGACATAACAGAGTTGCATGTGTCAATATTTATAGTATAGTAATTATAAGATGAACATAACTTCATGAAACTGGTGATATTCAGTTTTTATTGGATTATTATTACAAATTTGAAAATAATACAGAATTATTAGTGGACACTGCATAGAATTACAACAAGACCATTCAGTCAAAATCTGGAATTGCACAACATCCATGATGTTCACTGATGTATTTCATATAACGTCACATTTATCAATCCGGTTCATTATAGTTATAATAGACCCCTTAACCATATAAACTCACCACTTGTTATCACAGAACTTGTAGCGGTGGTCGTCAGCCGGAACAATGTCGGTCAGTAGGATGTACTTGGTTTTGGGGTTCATCCCTGTGACTTTTACCTTGTAGCTCGGAAACATCCTCCTGTTGAATAAAACAAAGCTGTTAGAAGTTCCTGTAATTACGGAGCTGTAGCCACTAGGCGTTGTAGTTTCAGCCTGATTTCTATAATGGATAAAAAGTTTCAAACAAAAGTTATTACTGAGGTCTTACTACCGGTCTGATTTCTCTGTTGCCTGTTTTCTAAAAACATTTGCTGGAGCTAATGCATTACGAGAAACAGAGTAAATGAAAATCGAATTACACTCATTGACTGTGAACCAAAAGTAAAGGGAAATTATTCATGTGTACACATAAGACCTGGCGTGCCCTCCACCAGCACCTTAATTTAATAAATGAATTACCTGAAACTATTATTTTTAATCTACTTCCAGAAACAATTCAGCTAATTACTTCTCAGAAACTGACTCACTTTCTTGTCATATTCACTGTCAAAACTAAATTCCCTCCGTGGTGTTCATTCCACCCCCAGCAGGCAAATATTTAATAAGGCCCACAATCTACTCTTATTACAGACTCAAACACGCTGTTTCTTTCTTTTATCTTTCAAATAACCCAGACGGAATACGCTAATACAGTTTCCCTGTAAAACACTTCCAGGGAAACTGCTTTTCGTGATCTCTTCTTGGAAACAAAAAACAGTTTTCCTCCCATCTGCACTGAAGGAAATTTCACCAAGGCCTCTGCTCCTCCTCATAAAGCCCTAAGTGGTTTTTAATGGTGCCTTTTATCGGACGACAGTTTAGACGTCAGGGTTGTCAATGCTTTAAGGGCCGTGGTCAGAAAGGCCTGTAGTGTATCTGCTGGTGCTGCCCTGCAGCAGTGAGTTTAAACATTGGTGCACAGGCTTGTGGAATGCTCGGGTGTTTTCTTTGGAGGGCGCCACCGCATCAAAACACCCAGTGCCGCACTTGACATACGGCCCTGGTGCCAGTTTTCAAAGGCTGAAGGTGGTGACACCATGTGATCAGTTTACGGTAAATACTCTCTCTCACACTGTAGAGAGGGTGAAACGGGAGCATTGGGAGCAGGTAATTTAAATCTCTCACTCTCTCTGTGTCTCAGGCCTAAAATCCAATCATTAGGAGAGATCAGTCCTAGTATCATCCTCACTGAAAGATGGGTTAATCCCAGAGGAACATTCAAAACAGACCCCTGCTCATCTCTGGTTCCACTCACATCATACGTACAGAGCAGATGGAGGCCTGTGTCAACACATGTGGCCCTGCCATTTGTATAAAGTGGCTCAGTAAGAGTAAATGACTGTGCTGCTGTTGCTGCTGCTGCTGCTGCTGCTGCTGCTTGTTTTACCTTGTTATGCCCCACAGCTGAAGCTAAGGAAGCAGGGAAAACTAAGATGTAGCCGTATTATTTTCTTTCTATTATTACATGCCGTAATTTCTGAAGTATAGTCTGTTTTCGGTAAATGGTAGCGCTAAGGTGGCTGAAGCTAATTGCCTTGTAAATATACATACTTACAAAACAAACAAATAAATGGCTGACTGAAAAAAGTCACCAAAAAACATAAAAATAACTAATTCTTAATCCGTAATCTCAATTTCTCCAATCTCCAATTTCCTGGATCCAAAAGTGCTTTAAAAAATATGTACATACATATATGGTGATGTAAAGACGTGAGTGAAGAAGAGCATGAGAAATGGAAGATGAAGAGAGTATGTACGATATCAGTGTCAGTGTGTGTACGTGTGTTTTCGTGCCAGCTGTTTCTCTTAACATTCCCACATGTTCCATCCCTCCAGTGATCCATTCCCTCCCTGGGAATCTCCAGTACCACAGTAAGATCAAACGGAGCGCTGGGGGGGATGATGAACGCTACAACCTTGCAGGCTCAGCCTTTTGTGGGCGCCGTCTTCCTCTTATCAAGCCGTTTGACGGGCTGTGTACAATGAGGGAGAGTGAGGAAAGAGCTGCACTGGGTGCTGAGCAAAGGAGGGATCGTGCCTGTACAGTGACACTCACAATAACAAGTCCTCGAGACTCAGCTACACGTGCTGCATGGGAGTGGAGCGAGACGGTCTCAGCTCAGAGTGTTGGGAAAATATGAGTTTCCCTGGATGACAGGCTGGTTGTTCTCTATCTGCATCACTTCATGTGCCACCTCTGCGCTGTCCCTCCTCATATGGTTCTTATGTTTTACTTTTTTTTTTTTCCTTTACTCATTTTGTTTGAGTTTTGTTGGTTTGGGTCAGTTCATCAAAAGATATTTAACAAAGATATACAATACATATACAAATATAAGCAAAAAAATAAGCAAAAAATGTTTATCAGTCATCAGTTATCCTGAGAATTGAGGGAAAGCATGTAACTCACAAACTTAATTTGAAAGAAAGCATGTAACTCACAAACTTAATTTTTAAGTTAATTAATTTCAAAATTAATTCTGGCAACATCTATCAAAAAAAAGAAGTTAGCAGGCTACTTGTTACTAGATTTGAAAATCATGTTATGATCAGATAAGGAAATGCAGAATTTACAAGAGAAAAAAGTTGCAAATAAATTACGAGAGAAGGATGACAATGATGAAGTTTAATACTTTAAATTGAGGTTTAACATCACTGGCCTATCTGAAGCAGTTACTGCAGTCTATCTGAAAATCTCAAATCTGATTTTGAACCATCAATAAAGCTGCTACTTTATTATTTGCTGTTAGCTTGCAAACTTACTGTAGTAGTCCTTCTAGGGAGACAACTCGTAGCAGGTATTGTCTCTAGAAAACGTCTACCATAAACAATTGTCTTTATATAAGTCTGTAGAAAACATCTTAAATGCCTGTTCACACAGTGACGTCGCTCAGCTCCAGCTGACAGTCACTTTATCATGTGATGTTTACAATGACTCATGCAACACTTAACATTTTGACATGGCTCCCTCTCACACAGTCTGCTGTAGATCCACTCTGCCTCTCAGCTCTGACCTTTCCATTTTCACACTTTCCCTCCAACACCTCTCCCCTTCATTTGTTTTACTTTGATGTCCATTTAAATAAAATACTAGGACATCTATAAACCCTCCGTCCCAATTAAGCAGAAGGCTGTCTCTCCGTTAACCGCGTTATACGTCAGAACATTATACACATATCAGCAGGATTAGGAAAACCAAACCTAGGATTATCAATCTAGGTTGCAGGATAGAGACGGTTTTGTACAAATAGGAGAGGTACAAAAGATCGCTTCCTTCTCTGTTGTATACCAGTGCTACACATCTCTGCTCGCCCGTCACTAAGATCCATACATTGTTTAACATTGACTTTCTTTTCTTGTCAAAGTTTTTCTTACACCATTTATTTCAACGTAAACAACTAACGTAAGCAGCTTGAACATGAACTATTCAAGTCTGACGTCGTAGCATTTGTTCTAGCTCTATTTGTTTAACAGCAGCGTTCAGTGCTACACACTGGCTGTAGGAGAAGGCATGCAGGTTCCCAGCACAGCTCCACGGCCCTTCAAAGAGCTTTAAGGATTGAGAGCTCACTTTATCAGCCGGACAAGGGAAAGCCCATCTCTCACAGTGATACGGCATTAAAAAAACGTGGTGACCTCTTACATTTCTCACTAGAGGAAAAAAAAAATCCCATGGGTGAAGAGAGGTGGAGGTCAATTTTAGACTATACTCATTCTCTGGTTAATGTCTGAAGGCCTCACTATCTAATCCTCAGGTCGCATTAAATCCAGCCAGCCAAGCAGTCATTTATGTTTTCAATTATGTCGTCACTCCTCCAGGAACAAGTCTGTGTCTTATTGAAAAACTGATAACAGCAGTCGGCTACTTTATAATAATACGATTAATATTAATAATAACATGTCCAGCCATTAATCCTATGTCACTAACATTTTTTCACTGTTGCCATGGAGGCTGGAGCCGTTCTTAGAAGTTACGTATGAGACAGTTCGCCCGTTTATCGCAGGGCCACGTATAGAGCCAAACAACCTTTCCCACTCAAGCCATATTGACCTTTGGTCAATTTAAAGTGTCCAATTAACCTAAATGTTCCTTTTTTACTGGAGTACTAGATAACACCTGAGCAAACACTAAAACAACAAACAACCTAGGACTGTCAAACCCATGAGCCACATTTTCCATATAATAATAATAATTATTTTTTGTATTATTTATACATCCAATAACAATAATAATAAAATCATGATAATAATTATTGTTATTATTTTATCAAGAATATTTGGGTCATAATTTTAAATATTTGTATGTATGTGATAATTGATACTAATTTAATAAAATAATGTAATTTGGTGACTTAAATCTCCAGCTTTTATGTTTTGTGCATCCATATAGTGAAGCACATTATATGCTTAGTATATGTACGTACATCAAAAGTGAAGTGGTTGCTGAGTTGTTGGGCGTGTACATCTCTTGATGATAAATAACACTTCTGTGACATCAGAATATATTTTGCTGCCGTGGATGATCGTACTGAGGTGCTGCACTAACCTGCCTGCTTTAGTAATGATCATCTCTGTTCCTGCTTCATGGAACTTCTTCCACAGTTCCCTCTCGTGTAGAACAACCTTGATGTTTTCAATGTTCTGAAAGGAGAGAAAAACAAAAGGAAACTGTTCAATGTCCACCATTTTTTATTGGGGGAGTAATGATAGCAATACGTACATTGAGGGAACATTTTAGTAATCTTTAGGTGAGGGAAACGCATAATTTTTATGTGCATTATATGCATATATTTTTTGCAATTCAAATTCAATTTTGCACATTTGTTTTAATTTAGTATATAAATATTTCTCATGTGCGTGTGTGTGTGTGTGTATACCTCTGAGAATCCATTGGGGCTGGGAATGGAGGAAGCCGTAGAATGGCCTAGTCGTGACTGATCTGGGAGGTGATCCGTCTCCACGCTGGTCTGTACCCGGCTCGTACATCCATCCGTCACAGCTGAAGCCTTCTCTTGCAGCATCTCTACCAGGATTAGACACATACTCAGCTGTCAGAAATGTCACTGAGCAGCTTTGGCAGCACCGAGATATGTCGGCTGCACATCAGTGCTGGCTTTTGACACTTTATGGAAGGAAAGCAGAATCTGAGAATCTGCTGCAAAACACTAAAACCGTAATATCAGGTACTTGATATAATGTCAAGGTCTGAACATTATTGTGATTGCGTCAAAACACACTGGTAATAAATAGTAATTGGAACTTAGCATTTTGGAGTAAATTGGTATCATATACGTATTTGATATGACCCATAAACAGGCAATGGTTGGTGTTTCTGATTCCTATGTAACCTGTTATACACCTGAAGCCAAAAATGTCAAGTTAGACATTTATAGTATACGCACAGCTTTGAGCCGTGGCTCCTGCAGAGTCAGTCAGGATTTAGGATTACTGACCGTAAGTTTTTTTTGTTTATTTTGTTTTTGTTTTACAAATGCATAATAATAACAAAAAACATTGGGGTTTTCTTTTGTTGTTGCAGCTGAAAATCTATGTTAAGGGACAACAACATCTTCTGGCCCCTGTGTCCATCCTGGCAGTGTCACTAAATCAGCACAGATAGGTGAGTTGATAATTGATCCTTTCCAAAACTAAGCCTTTGAAGGATGTTTGTTGTTATAGCCAATCTTTACCGAGCATGGTATCATTTTTAAGAGATTGACTTTAACCTGGTGCTACACTACGCATCGTTTTTTACACTGTCCCGTCTCGCTGCTGTCGCTGCTCCTGCTGCTGACATTTCCCTGCAGCTCCTGCTGCAGAGACAGTATTTAGAGAGCTGGAGCCAACGCTGACAGTTTAACTAGATCATTTCTGCGTGAGGTGTATTTTTTTGTAATTAAAACAATCATGTGTAGTTTCATATCATGATGCAAATGTTACAGATACCATAATTCAACTTGACTACTAAGAACCCCCTGCTCCCAAAAAGAAAAAGAAAAATTAGTTTGTCATCGTAACCTGAACTTTTGTCATTAAATTAGGTAAAGACTGTGCAGTGCACATCATATGACAAACATTCTGCTTTTCTTAAGGATTAAAAAAGGCGGTTGCTCAGGTTTGGACAGTGAGGATGTGAGCCTATAAACACAGAGCGTCCCCTCTCTCAGGCATGAAAGTGGGAAGGCGGCAGCCAGTGTAAACTGAGGGAGACGTCTTTAAAAGCTAATAAAGATAAGAGCTGACAGAGTCTTTTTTTACAGTGTGAACCTGCAGGCTTTTCACCCCCTGGTCTTGTTTTTCTTTCTGATGTCGTTGTCATTCACTATAAAGAGACGCACACTACCACACGTGCTGCATAATAATTATAATTATTATAATTGTCTTTGGTTCAAATTGCATCATGGGTGGAAAAAGTGAAATAAAATAAAATACTAAATGCAAATAAAAGCCTGTAGGTGCGACATACACAGATCTAGGTTTTTCGGTCTGCCGCCATTTTGTGTCTGCAGCTGCCATATGTAAGGCGTCTGACTATCTGTTATAAATAAAGACAAAAGTCATAAAGTTCAACAAAACCAGGCTATAAACATGTTTGAGTAGCTCATTAATACTCCACTGTTAATGATGAACAACAGCATGGTGAAATTGTTTTTCATCACCTACCATCAAATACTTGATAGTTACAAAGCCTGGTATTTGATAAAACAACACAACACTGTCAAACAAAATGGATTTCATTTTCTGGGACACAAAAAATAGATTTTCATTTAAATTCAGATAACAAACTGAATACTTTCAATAATATAAAGTCGTTTTAATATATCTTGTATCTTATCCTGTAGCAGTAATAATGCAGCATAATTCAACTGCATTATTTGTTATTAAACAAGTGCATATACAGGTACATTGCTGTCTTATTAAATCTGTCACATCAGTGTCAAATCACACATATATACATGTATCTGTATACATGTGCAGCTATTCTTTTAAGGACAGCATATCTCTACAGTCGGACCAGGCCCATAGCCCGAACTCTCATCTTAATCATCCGTTCAACAAGTGACTCAACAGTCAGGTTGTCTCTTTTCTAGGGCCTTGTTCTTTTTGGCCCCAATAACTGATAAGAACTGGTCCTAAAACTGATTAAAATGTCAGAAACAGTTCTCAATAGACATCAAATACAAATGCACACACGGGAAGTCACTATTCTTCAGCTGATCAACGCACACACACACACACACACTGTCTCTTACACACACGGGTGTTACTGTACCTCACACACTCAGTCATCTGCCTAAATCCATCCTCAGTGCACCGGCAGCAGCTCAGTGTTTAACCTCCACCGGTCTGGGTGCAGCAGCAGCAGCGGTAGCGGCTGTTTCTGACTGACTGTTTCCGCTGATAAGTGTCGGTGTGTCGGTGGGTTCAGAATCTTAGTACCGCTCGGTTCCTCCACCAGCACAGAGAAAGAGAGAGAGAAAGAGAGAGAGAGAGCTGTGTTCTGCGCCTGTGCGCTGCTCAGTGGGCTCTGGCTGAAAGAGAAACTCAGTGAGATGTTCTCGAAACACACACTCACACATGCATGCGCAAAGGCGCGCGCGCGCGCGCAGCTATTTTTTTACGAACCTTTTAATTGACTTTGATTAATTTATACAGCCGTTAACCTTAATTTTTTTAATCAATATTCTAAATATAACCCATTCAGACGTTACCCTAAAACCTGGCCACGACTCACATCTTTCACTTTCTTTAAGCACAGCCTCTTAAACGGTGCTGAATCGTTAGGGACCAGATTTTATCATCATCTGGTCCCAAAACAAGAGATCCGTCCCAGATGTTCTTCTTTAGATTCTCCATTGACTTCCAGTCATTTGGTCAGAACTTGTTAACAACCATCATCAGTTATTTCCTAATTCAAACCTCAGCCTTAATGATGATTAAGATACATTTCCCGAGAGACAATATCATAAAGAGAATGACTATTGGACCTTAAGTGGTTTAATAAACAGGCAGATTTTTGGGCAGCGCAGTGACACCAGCTCACTGTATAATGACAGTTTGTTACAGAAGGGGGTAAACAAACAAACAAAATTATTTTGTTTAATATGAAAGTCATAATAGTTAAAACAAAAAATAAACATTTTATTGTGTCGGTTAAGTCATTACAATTAGTATTTTATTTCCTGAATGATTTTAATGTTGAGTTCTACTAAAAAAAAAAAATCAGACGAGCTGAAACAAAAAGTAAACAACTCATCGGCTTTTCATTGACCTCAATTACAATAATCCGTATCCGCTACAGAAAATCTTAAAAAGGGTCACTGTCTCCTTAAGATTTTTATAATATGTTACGTTTTAATTTAGTATTTAGTTTTCGTTAAGGTTTACGTAATATATTTTTTCTTTTACTACTGACGGCGCAGCCTTTAAGATGACAGTGTGTGGAATTAAACCCGCAATATTTGCTAGACTTGGACTGAGCCACAGCAGCGCATTTTTACCATTCAAACAGCGAAATATGATCAGTAATAAACCGTTAGTTTTCAGGTTGTAGACTATCAGTTTTCAGTTTAATATTAAGTATTATTAATGTATTAATAATATTCATACAATACACTATACGTAAAGAAATAATTATTTAAATTGAATCTATCACCGGAAATTTTAATATTTGAAAGTCGTTGTACCTTATTGTTATTTTTGTAACGCATTTGTCAGTGTTACGTCGTTTGCGCTTATAATAAAACTTCTGTTTGTCAATGAAGGCCAATCAGAAATTACCAACGATCAGACTAAATAATCTGAAATATCCACCTGGTTTCATAGAATATGTTGTTTTGTGTTTGTTTTTGTTTGTGTGTGTGTGTGTGTGATCGGTGCAGCGAACAGGCCGCACTGCATTACATCCGCACGTTATTTTGACGCTTGTGTTTTTGTTTTGTTTTTTTACTGCCCTAAACGAAGCGCATTTATTCATCAGGTGCCAGTGGTATTTAAATATTACTTAAACGAATAACACTGCAAATATTAATATGTGCGCTGGTCCGATGTACAAATTAACACACCAGCATCGTGTGTGTTTGTAAGAAAGAGAGATAGAGTGTGTGTGTGAGGGAGACAGGGGTATGTTTTCTGAACTGCTGAAAGGTGATTGAGCAACAAGATTGAGCAACACACACACACACACACTCTACCCAACCACACACACACACACACTGAACCTAACAGCTCATTAACTATTATACCACCACATCCACAGAAACTTCAACTCTCCTCTAAATTCTGAGTTGAGTTTATGTAATTGCCGATTCTTCACTCTGCACTTAAATGTCTGTCTCCAAACCTGACGTCACTCATCACCACAGTCCTTCTACTTAATCGTTTATCTGTAATACACAAGAAACTTTTTAAAACTTCTACTGAATCGAACCTAAAAGGTAAAAAATAATCAATAAATAATCAACCTGCAAATCCAGTACATTCACAGTCTGTATCCTAAACTTCTTGATAATGTTTCCTCTTATTGTTAATAATTGTTTTTACTATAATGATGCAAAATGCTGTAGTATTGACATGCAGTACATTTTCACTGATACTACGTCTCAAAGTCATTTTCACTCACCACGACTGAATTCAGGAAGTAATGGAGTAAAAATAAAAAATATAACAGTGATTTTTTTTTTGAAGATCATCCTCCTGACTGTTCTTACCTCCTCTGTTTGCTCCCAGCTCTCCTCTGACCTCTGTGGTCCTACTGTCTCCTCTCAGTCTCTGCTAGAACGTGTGTCCTCACTGTGTCCCACCCATGCACCTCTGCAACTCTGTGCTGCAATCAAAATGTTTGATTTTTTTTATAGCGGCAGAATTTTGTCCAGCTTCTGGAAAGGGAATTGAACCTCCACACACTCCCACCGTCACATGGTCAGAGCAGGAGGAGATTCAGCTCTGGGGATGTCCGGCCCTGCAGCGTTCCACTGCACAGATACATATGATGTCCATTTGGTGAGTAGAGTCATGAACACTGACGTTCTCCAAGCACGTCATATCTTTTATGTTCTGGTTGTACTATGAGTGGTATCTAAAGAAAAAAGCTGCCGTTGGTGCAACAAGTTATCAAAATATTCTGTAAAATAACAGATAAAATAAACATTCTCTGTGTAAGAATCACTGAATATCTGGATTCATACGTGAATTAAAACATCTGGTTTGTGTTTGAAACACCGTCAGAAATACAGATATTGGAACACTGTTTGAACTATTTGGGCTAATGTTTGTTTTTTTATGTATTTTATACTTTAGGTGGAAGAGAATTAGTTGACTTTTGGCTTCCACCATTGAACTTATTGTATTTATATTTATCAGCTTGTTTTGGGAAAAAAAAAGGAAAATGTTGCTTAGTTCTACACAATTTCTTTTTCAAACTTGTAGCTAATATTTAGTTAACTTATATATTTTAGTCCAATATTTTTGAAAAATATTTAGTTAACTTATATTATATATTTTAGTCCAATATTTTTGAATTAGCGCTTAGCTTCTGGATTCAAGATGCGTAAAGGTGAATGATTGATGGAGGTCAGTCCAAAAAAATTGTTTAACAAAGACATTCTTTGTTCATGTTGTAAAAATATCTAGTGAAGTTTTTTTTCTGCCTCAGTCTGTACAGTGATGTTGTGCAGTATTTACATAGGAAGTCGATCTGGCTGCAATCCATGTTTTTTCAGGGTTAAGAAATGACAGAGAGGGATTTGAACCAGGAACCTATCTCCACCATTAGAGGCTATTTATTAGTTAGTTTTTATATATATATATATGTTCTATAATCTATCTTATTATATATTATATTAATATTATAATATGAAATATATTAATATTGAATGTTTCTGCGCAGACTGTTTAAATGAATTACAGAGTTGAAAAGTCGATCAGTTTTCTAGAATTTACTGTATGTAAAGTACTTTTGCTGGTGGTGGTGAAAATGCTTTCCTTCCATTGTTACCTCCTCTGCTAACGTCAGTGCTTTAGGCTGCTCGTCTCAGACACCTCTGCATCTGTCAGGCTGAAGAAGTGTTTCCTCTTCAAAGAGCTGTGGAGCTCAAACTGCTTTGATTTCACTTATTTGAAGCGGAGCTGCTGTTAATGTCACTACAGACGGAGTGAGCTGGTGTCAAAGTGTTGGAGCCGGGCCCTTTCGCTGCCCATAGTAGTAGGGTATTTTGCTGTGTAGGGTCTCTGGCTGATCCACTTCACCACGTTTCTCTTAGAACATCTGCTCTGAGCCCCTCCTTTTGCTCTTGAGCGTAATGGCGGAGCCTCCGTTCTTTTAGATGGATTCGGTGTCAGCCCCTCCCTCTCCGCTGTTCTCCCCACCCCTTCGTTTTCTAATAGCTGATTGGTCAGTTTTAATCCTCCTGGCCAACGTTGAGCAGCAAGTGGCCAAAGTGCGTCTCACATTAGGGGGAGATGTCCCAGCTCCCCTCCACAGGCCTCTGCTGTATCACTGTGCATGGCTCACCTCCAGCAATGTACTACGGCAATGTACTCCATATCATGGAGCTGACCTATGTTTAAGGTTTTGTCATTTAAATTGACATTGACATAATACTGTATCTGAAAGACCACATGTGAGTAAAAAATATAAAGAGTTCACTGATTCTAAAAAGCTTTAAAGCCACTTACATTGGGTTGATAATAAATAATAAATTATATTATGTTAAATATTTAAGTATTTAAGTAAAAGTTGAAATATCTGACTTAAATTTAAGAGAACCAATTTGACATATGTTAGGCAAATTTTAAAAAATCTTTATCAATGAAACTAACAGATATATTTCTTGACTTATCCTCTGTTTACATATAAACACCTGAAATTGTTTTTTTTTTTTTCTTTCAGGAATTTGTGACGCATTCTGGGCGATGTCTTTCACACCGGGGAACTCTGTTTCAGGTCAGTCTGTTCTTTGAATTGTTCAAGGACTGAAAACCCAGTTTTAAAAAAAAAAAGGTTTTTGAGACGATAGACAGAAAAAAAATGATCAAAACCTGTAGAGCACAGCCTCAAAAGTTTCCATTGAAGTTGAGTTAAAGTTTTAAATGTCTTTTCTCTGATTTAAAAAAAAACATGGAGTTAAAAATAACACAGCCCAACACTTCACATGTGAAGATATAACGACAATTTTGTTTTGGACTTCTAAGAATACTTCTAGTTTTTGACTTCTTTGAAGATCGACTGCTTATTGTGTCAGAGCACATGTCCACAGGCCACGTCTGGGTTCATGACCTTCTGACCTGTAGTCTGAATGTTTCCCCTTCAATGATGTGTTCAGATGTTAAACACAGAGCACCGACCACTGTGCACTTTCACGTGCAGCGAGCCAAATTACACACGATGACAAAGTGACAGAGGGTAAATGAAGAAGCTGCCGCGACATGTTTCCTCTTCTTCTCTTTTTCACTAACATACAAACAGATGTGACGTTGTTGTTCATTGCCGTCCAGTTCGTTCCCATGGCAACAATATTCTTTATTGCTATCATATAATCTTATTCAAGCGAAATTATTTTCATTTTTTTTATTTTTCATATTTGTGATCCTAATGTGTCAGACTCTTAAGAGTCTGACATAGACTGTTGGAATTTCCTGGCTATGTGTCGTTTGTCACCGTCGGCATGCTGGGATTGTGTCCGTATAAGCGAGCACTCGATGTTTCAGTTTTGGTTTCTGTTAAGTGGTAGCGCAGCGGCTGCTGCTGTTTCTCTTTACTTTGGAGGGTAACTGTAACATTCATTTCATGAGGAGTGTTTTATTTTTCTTCTCGTCATCACACATCTGTCAAACCTGTCCACGCTCCAACGGCACAACTCCCAGGTGGAAAGATTCGGGTTAGTCTGGGGCTCTTAGGCAAATAAACGCCTGGAACATAGTTTACAGACAGGGCCGGTGCCATTAGAGGAGTGATGCCTTTTAGGACTTTTAAATTATTGAAGAAAAACTTTATATTTACTATTTGAAATACCCCTTCTTCTGCCTTAGTTCTTTTTCCACATCTGCTCGATGTTTTTTCTTATTTTTTATAATCCTCTCACTAAGTCTTTTCTTAGTTAGAACGACGATGTTCTCCAACGTAAGACTCAAATGAAATAGTTTTATGTTGTTGTCAAAATTACAAAAAAAAAAAAAAATAATTAATTGTTTATACACAGACACAGACAAACGCAAACCGCAAAATATACATAGACACAGACAAACGCAAACCGCAAAATGTGTCCTCGGTATTTAACCAGTCTCTAAGGTCGGCAGTTGAACCTCAGAGTAACAGGCCACGGACCATACAACAAGAATTTGACTGAAAGAACAGAACGAGAAAATAAATTTAAGTTTGTAAAAAAACTAAACAAATAACATTGATTTAATACATATTTATTTTTTATTTTAATTTATCCCAGATTTTAAAAATAAATAAAAAACTATTCTGATTTGAGTCCAATTTAAAATCTACATGTTAGTCTTTTTTTTTCCTTAATTCAAAGAAACTTTAAATTCTGGAATATGTAGTTAATTAATTTCACATTTAACATCTATCATAAGTAGTAATAATCCACCAGCTGAAGCAGCAGGAACTTTTTATTTTTCAAATAATAACTGTTCAAAGTTCTCATTATCTGTCCTCGTATGTGATCATTGTTGCACTCTTTGTTTTTCAGACCTAATCCGTTCAGCTCTTTGAAGTGGGCGCCACGTTTACGCTGATACCATTTAACCATTTGTGTCAGGGTCGATTGCTGGTCTCAGCTAGACTTTGGAAGCTGCCTGGGGTCATATGCCTCCGGGTTCAAGACCCGGTCAAACCCATCGTCTTACTTACACCTACCTACACACTCGAGCTCCTGCAGAATCTCTGATCCTCAAAACATGTGACGGAGCAGACATGGGACCTGGTCATTCTGCCGACTTTGAGGACATGCAGCCAGGGAAGTGGACATTGCTGTTCAGACCTCCCATAATGAAACCTGAGGAGTCGCGGCATCTCCATCTTTTACCGTACGACTCAAAAAAGCAATGGTTTTTGCCACGTGTGCAAAATGTGGGAACCATGCATTTGGACTGTGAGCGGTGTATTATGTGTTTTTTACAGCACATACCGTATATGGAGTCAACATGTCTGGCTCTGATTGGACACAAAAACCTTAGAGGATTGTTTAAAGCAGCTGTTAATGAACTCTTTACTCATACTAATGAGAATATAATCATCTGAAATGTTCAGTTTTAATACATTTAACTGTACTATTTCTGTTGCTCTGGAAGTTGGATTTGTTAATGTTAGTGTAAAGACGTGTTTCCTCTTGATCGGTGGTCGTCACTGCACTGAGAGTGACAGAGTAAGCAGCCTTTAGCAAGAAACAGAGACTGGAAGAAAGTTTATTGCTGTATAATGTTTAATCAAATTAATTTATACATACATGTGTTCTTCAAAATGCACTTAGTTGTTTAAGTTTGGTCAAACCTACTTCTCAGCAACTCTAATCTTTAGGTCAACTTAAACAAAGTTTTGTTTTTTCAAATTGCAAATAGTTTTTATTAACCCTTGTAAAGTCCTTCAGACATATTGGGTCTAGGTGACCTCGGGGTCATATTCATTAATACTCATATTCTAGGACAAGATAAAAATCATTGCAAGGACAAACGGTATGTACAAAAATGTGAAGGACCGCACAAGGGTTAATGATCTTTTCTGTATCATCCATAAAGACCAGATTGTAGTAACTCTTGATATAAACATTTTATTTCAGGACAAATATTACCAATAAAATGAACTAATATTAACTAAACTGTCTGTAGAACTTATGTAACTTTCTTTTTAGTTCTTAGTTGCCCTTCTTGGCTTTTTTTTTCTTGTTCTTTAAACTTGTTGGCTAACTAGGTTAGAAGTTAGTTGGACTTAACCTTTCCTGCTAACGTAGCTATTTCAGAATTGAATAATACAAACCCACATGTCGGACACTGTCAAGCATGTCTGAAGTCTGTTTCAGTTTTTGCTGTCCGACGATTAAAGTTAAGTAGGACTCGGTGACTTTATGGTTTTTGTCCCTGTCGTCTCAATTTACCTGCTCATTGTGACTCTTGTCGCTGGAATGCAAAAAGCTGAAGAGCACTTTGTCTCACTGCACTTCACTGTAACCCTGATTTTATTGGGTGTGACTGACTTGCAGGCAGCCACCTAAATGGTTTTTCCTCCTTGAGTTAAGTCTTTGTTCTCATGGAAGAGTCAAGAACTGGCAAAATGTAGGCAAAATCTTGATTTACATTAGTGGGACATACCTGACATAGTTGGTCAAAGATGGTCTGTGGACCCTTTGTTGGGAAGTTTGTCTGGAAGTGTCACATTTTAGTTCCCTGTTAGAAGATGGATTGAAGGATGACATTAAACAAGTTTTTTATTTTTTTTATTTTATTTTATAAGATTCCATCTCATCTGCATGTTTCTCATCATTTAAAAAAATCTATTCTGTATGTTTTTAATCAAATTAGATTTTTTTTTTAATTTTTTGGCAAAATCCTATTTTTACATGTCATGTCAGCCAGATGCTGAAAAATTAGGATGAAAAGTTTTGAAAAACAAATTACAAATTTGAACTGTTCTGCATGTTTCTCATCAAATTAGAGCATTTACAGAATTCTTTTACATTTTTTTGCAAAATTCTAAATTCGTATATCATGTTAGTCAAATGGTAAGAAAATGATGGTGAAGGTTTTTGAAAGAAAAAAAAGTTTGCCTAAAAATTGCACTTTTTTACTAAAAATGAAAACACATTTTCATGAAAATGTTTCAACAGCTAAACAAAAATAGGATTTTGCCTAAAAATTCTGAAATAACTTCAAATATTTTTTATTCTAAAACATTTTTCAAAATGCTGTAATTTGATAAGAAAAATGCAGACAAGATGAAATTTTTCGTTTTCAAAAAGAATTGTGAAATTTTTCAAAATCTGAAAAACATTTAAGAAAAATCTTTCCAAAAAATGTTTTAAAATGCTGTATTTTTTTGAGAGACATGCAGGTAAGATAAAATAAAAAAAAACTTTTTTGTAAAATCATTTGGGACAAATCTTTAGTAATTTCTTTTTCAAAATTGTATCTTTTCCTGCATGTTTCTCATCAAATTAGGGCATTTAGAGAACATTTTTAGAATTTTTTTTCTAAAAACGTTTCTGTCAAAATGTTAACTTTTCGTGTCAGGGACTTTTTTTTTTT